AAAAAAGAGGGAAAAGCTCTTCAACCACATTTTATCTACTCCAGTTCTTTGACTTAACCTCTGCAGACAATGTAAATAAAGGGGTCTTGGGTGAAGAGTCTTAATTGCTGATGGGAGCTTTCCCTTAGGACCTATATGGCAGGCAGAATGGATTGTTAGGTGGGCAGAAGTGAGCATCCTTGGACGGTCTAATGAGAGAACTCCTGTGGTTTGATTTTTTTCATATTCTGTTTAATACCTCTCAAGACTTGTCACCTCTCAAACCTTACTAAGTGTGGGCCCTATTTGATCCTACACCTATTAACTCTTGACTCCTTCCTCTTACTCTAGAGGCAGGAATAATAGTCAAGGTGACTAGTCTAGAAGTCTGCTAGGGAATTTTGAGTTACCGTGGTTGTTCTTCCCTCTTGCCACGAAAGGAGTGAATGGAAGGAAACTCTACTGCTTAGCTTTCCTAAAGTGGCCTTGACTGTTGCTGATAAATACTGTTACAGATTCTTCCTGCCTACTGATAGCTAGCTCCTTCCTTCTTTCTTTCCTTCCTGCTCTTCTTGCTTCCTTCCTACAGGTTTTTGCCTTGGTGCCAACGTATAATAGAATGCCTTCATCCGCTGTAATTTACATGGAATGAAATCTCCCTTTATAGGAGATTTCTGGGTGGGAACTGAATACTCATCTTCATAAATGATTTAACCTAGACTTCCTGTGATTCCCCAGGCTGAAGTTCATAATTTTACTTTTGCCCACTTCCCACATCAAAAGGTTTACTCTAATTAGGATCAGAGTGGAAACAGAAGGAAGATATAAAAAGATAACCTCCAGGCTCATTGCTTCTGCAAATTGAAAAGTCTCCTTAATCCTATTGGACTTGCTTTGTAAATTCTTCACTACGGTATGAGTCTGAAAGGTTAAAACCGTGCAACCATTCCATTACAGCATTATTCATAATCTTAAATAATTGGAGACCATCTAAATGTTTCATGTTGGGTGATTCATTAAACAAATCATACTGCATCTATACAGTGAAATTACACAGTCATTATAAATCATACTGCCAAAGATCATTAATGACATGAGGAAGGGCTTGTGGTATAATATATAAAAAACTGTGTTTCCAACACAAAATTGTGTTTCCAACAATTTTGAAACACACATGGAATGAATACTAGAAGTAAACATACCAAGAATTTAAAAATGTTATGGGTGATTTAATTTTTTGCGTATTTTTATTTTACAACTTTTTCAATGACATTTTAAATTTATAATCAGAAACAATCTTAGTGTTATTTTTCAAAAACAAAACTTGTCATCCCTACTTAGGGATCCCTATTCGAAAAAGAGAGGTGACAAACATGTGCTTGGGACCTTCTTATGTATT